CTTTGTGTCAGGTGGTGTTTCAATATAATGACAGGAAGCGACGGCAACGCTCCCATTCTACAACGATGACTTTAAACGGCGCACTCAGCACTATTCCAGCTATAAGGGGGCGGACTGTAAAATAATGGAGTCTTGGACAGACAGACAATACAGTAATAAACAACATGCGCATCGATCTACGCTGTTTGGAATACGATGACATGTGAAGACCAGACCAGCGATACTGTCGGTCCCCTATTACGACATGCATGGGTTGCTGAAAACTATGTGATATGTACGCTGTGTAACGCGCTACCAGAGCCGTGCGAAAGCAAGACACGATTGAGTGGAATTGTCGTAGCTTGAACGGTGTGCACATTGTTTTGTGAAAACATATCACATGTCAAAGAATACAGCCACTTCATGCTTTGGTGATTACCCTAAGGTCGACGGGAAACACGTCTGCGTCGATTTCGCCATTTCGTATTGCCTGTTCTCCTGTGTGTACGCATGACCGACAAGAAGACATGGATTATATAGTATTTCCCTAGGACCGACAAATAGAGTGTAAGAAATGAAAATACTGGAAAGGGAAAGAACAGTTCCTGATTTATAAATTATAATACAAGGAACCCCAAAACTCTCTTCACTGAACTAAAACTGTGCTCAGGGCCGGATGCAGCTTTTTTGAGAAAATGGGGTGGGGGTGGGGAGAGGGATTTTCATCCGTTTCCACAACCCCCTCCCTCTAGATTCATCTGGTGCTAATATGGACTTGTGAGGACTTTCATGGCTGCATTTGTTTCAGGGTCGATATGACATACTAACTGTATATCTAGCCGGTGAAGCTTGTGTGACCCAACTCGAGCATCTTTGCTTGCTTTCAGCCCAAAGTCTAACTGCCCTACCTCCCTCCCCTCCCCTACCCCATCTACCCCCACCACACGCACGCACGAACGAACGAAGGAACGAACGAGACCAACATTTGTTCTAATTACAGCATTACTGAAAAGGGTGACCAAAGGTATGTAGTGTGAACCAAAATATATATAAATATTATTGTATATGTTACTACAGCAACGTAACGTAAATACAATAAATACAGGCAAAGCTTTGGCCGGCATTCCGACCTACCACCATGAGTGACAGGGCATGGCTGTAGCTAAGGGTGCATTTTGAAATGTGAATAAACACTTCCGTTCAGTAAGTTCAGTCTGCCGACAAAGCGCCCGTTCTCTAACATCTAACCTCCGTCAGCCAGCACCACACCACAGCAGCTGTTCTCCTATAGCTCCGTCACTTGTAATGTGTCTCACAGTGACTGGACTTTATTAGTTTGCCTTCGGGCCGGCACTGCCTGTAATGTAACCATTACAAGGACTGTTTCTTTTGACTGACCTGGTACAGGGTGTGCTATACTTGCAACTACAGATGCTACTGAGCTGTGTGGGACGTACTGATTATGGTGGGATTAACACGTTTTGGATTTGGAGACAAATGCAGATTTACTAGAAGATGTATTGGTATTACAGAAACGTTATGCTATTTGACTACTATAACTACTATGAGCTATCTATCAATGACGTTGTGGAAATTAAGTTTTAATATATGTGGGCAGTGAGGCTGGACCATGTTTCACGAGGTGAGGACAGCGGCAGAACTCTGGTCAGACACCCTGGAAGAGAGGGACATGATGTTCTGAGTTAGGCAGGGGCCAGTGTGCTTCTATATGCCTGGTATTTTCCACTTGTAAGGTTGTAGGAAATTTTACTGATAATGTCAACAACACTTACAGCAGATGTTATTAGCGTTTGAATCTCCACATGTCCTATTTGCTTCAGTGAGAATTAAATGAATTTAAAAGATTAATATGCCAAGTGCGGCGACCATTCTCTGTATACTTCACTCCTAAATGTGTTAATAACTAATTAGTGATTTGAGCGGAGTAGATTGGTGTACCCAGGAGTGATTGGTTATGATTGCACCAAAAGGAAGCGTGGAAGCCAGATGGACAAGAGAGGAGATGAAATATACTTGATTTTATGGTTTCAAGAAGTTTCCCTAATATTGCAGTCTACTCAGTTGATTTGACTCATGTTAGCGGCCGGCCGGTAGATGTTTAAATGCCGCGTAAGCCCATTACAGCCCAAAACTCCTAACCCTAACCCTAACCCTAAGCCTGGCACCGAATCACAAACCTAAACTTAATTCTAACCCTAACGTCATCTCTAACCCTAACCATAACCATGACCCCAGAAATTCCAACCCTAATCCTCAGCCTCAACATAACCCCTAACCTCAATGTCAACCTCACCCATAACCTAAACTCAAACCTCAACCTAATACTAGCTCAAACCTCAACCTAAAACCCAACCCCTAAACTCAAACCTCAGCCTAACCCTAACTGAGACTTGAACCTGAACCTATCCCATAACACTCACTCACCCCTAGCCTCACCCTCAACCTCACCCTCACCCTCACCCCTCACCCTCAGCCTCAGCCTCAACCTCAACCTCAACAAGGGGTAAAGCGACCAAACATAAGTTAGTTCTGGACACCCGCTTGCGCGTCCCCATGGATACAACTATATTCCTAACAAGTGTTTTACCAGGGCCACAGTGATAGTATGAGATGCCTTTGTTATGTGGTGGGATTCGACGGGGTATTTGTGTGGTACTTAGGACAGTCTAAGTAGTGGTGCCATCATTCCCATGTATGCTGGCATCTACATGTAAGTAGTTCAGTAACACGGACATTGTAACCCTGTGCAATGTGATGACAAGCCAAGTCATTGTGCACCAACACCTAGCTTCTCTATGCCACACTTCTAGGAATGCACCAGGTTTGTGACGACGAATAATAAACTTCACCTCGGAAGCATGCCCGTATGAAGCCATGCTTACTTTTAGCCTAAATCTCCTTTGAGGTATGAACCAAGACTCGGTCTGGTTGGACCAGGCCATATCAACACTCTCAACTCTCTTAAGCTTTTATGACATTCAAATTTGAGCCGTCTGCCAGAGCTATCATTTCAGGCCTGTGTTTGTGGAACCAGCTGTGCACATTTGTTGTTATTTATTTCAGTTATGCTGTTCCATGGCCACTTGTGCTTCATCGTGTCCGGTCCAGAGACCCTGTACAACCCCAATATGTAAAATCAACACCATATGTAAAAACTAACGCAATATGTAAAAACTTAACGCAAAACGTAAAATATAACGCTATATGTAAAATATTAACGCAATATGTAAAAGATGTCTTTAACGCAAAAAGTAAAACACCTAACGCAAAATGTAAAAATAATTTTTAACTTAATATGTAAAAAATTAACGCAATATGTAAAATCCAGTTTTAGGTTTGAATATTAGGGGTAGCACCCGAAATCCATTTTAGTTACAAATTTTACAAAAACTAAGATATCGCAATGTTTCTTACAAAATAAACTTCATATTACATTTTTATGCAAAATTTTACCTCGTTCAGTATACATGTAAGCAGAGTCGATAAACATATAATTTCCTTGTATATAGAGATAGTTTAATCGATCTTATAGTCTATTTTCGAAAGTTTTAAAGGGATAACTATATTCTTCAACTTGTTTTCATAAAATTTATTTTTGATTATATTCATTATGTCTTATTCCAGAAGGATGGACCTTTCCTTGAAACTGTCCATTCCGTTGTTGATAATGTGTGAATACCGAATTTGGGTTTTAGAGAAAACCACTTATTGATCCTTCTTAATTTGGTTTGAAATAACATGCCTGTTGTAGTGATGTTTCCAATTTTAATTCATTGTGCTTTATCGTGTCCGGTCCAGAGACCCCTGCCGTATACACACGCAATCGACCAAGTCCATCCAATACTTGATCCTGATCCAGCTGCGGAGCCTCCCCTCTGTCTGTCTGTCTGTCTGTCTGTCCGAACGAAGCTGACTACATCCATTATGACTGCTGTTGGTATTTACGCGTTCCTCGCTTCAAGCTATCGTGGGTTAACATGCTGGAAGACTAAGGCACTAAATGCGATGAAGATCCACGTGTACAATCTCTTTTGCAAAGTTTGGCCTTTAACATTTGCTTTAAATACACATTACTGGGATCACGGATCTTCACGGATCGGGTATTCATGCTTCACTGCAACATGGTATCTCAGTGGGCTAGCACTATAAAACCAGCTTCAGTCTGGGCTAGTACAAGCAGCCGCACATACACATACACACGCATGTACGTCGTCATATGAGCGAAATATTCTCAAGTACGACGTTAAACCCAATTTCACCTCACCTCACAGGGAGGCCCTTATTGTGCTTGTTAATGGCCATGTCAGTTTTCCTCAACACCAGTTTAAAGTACGGAGCAAAGGTGTTCACGTGCACAATGCATTTTCATGTTACACATGTTATGTATAGGATTACACGTTTTCCGTAAAGGTCAGATTCTAGTACTTTTGACCAACTTTCTAAATGGCAATGGCTATTCATAGTTTTCGGCCGCAGTAGCCATGCCAATTTACACTTGTCAGAGGGTTACACAAAGTCCGTGGTTTAGACTACCAGTTGTCAGACTTTGTGTGAGCGGGTTAGATGGCTGCCTTTGTGTGTTGGTCATTAGGTACCTCACTACCCAATCCCGGGCGAATTTGGATGTTAAGGACTTTCTTTAGTAAAGCTAATGCCGGGCATCTAAGCGAGTGATTATTGAGTGAGTGAGATTTTAGCAACTTTTCAGCAATATCACGCGGGGGACACTAGGAAAGGGCTTCACACATTGTACCTATATGAGGAATCATCCCCGGGTCTTCAGAGTAAGGACCGAACGCTTTAACCCCTAGGTTACCCCACCGCCCCCTTGTGTGGGAAGAAGATGGTTGGGGAAATGGTCATATTGAGTACCTTTTATACCTGTTTGTTTGCACATAACGATGAACGATACACACACATTAGACACGCTGTGTTTCATTCACCAGATATACGCCCCAATACCCCACATGTTGTCACGTGTCTCTACACATGAACAGCGCGGATGTGTAGTCAGGCAGTTACACTCTAAACATGCACCGGATAGATTACACTTCAAGTATGTTAGTCACGTGTCATCTGCCGGAAGTGACCTTTGTACCACAGGAGAAGGAAATTATTGTCCAGGTAGGTGTGTTGTAACTGTCTCTCATCTCGCAAGCCAGTACACGGTTATCTGTCTGGTCAAACATTTGCTAGTATATGTCACGATGCCACGTTGTTATTGCTTGTGGTACAAATACAATATTTGTACAGTTTACATCCTGGTTATTTGTGATACGTAACAACATGATATTTCTACTTTCGTTTTACAATAGTTGCGGACTCACGCCATGACACAGTGTTTTGTGTTTTGCTCTGTAAAGATGTCTAAAGCACGGAAAAGATCGATTATTGTAGAATAGTTATTGTGGTCGCGGTGAAAATGCTGCCCTGCAATGGTATATTCTGCAGTTAAAAGAATATGTGTGGATCTGTTTATTAACCACCTCGACCATGTGTGCCCGGGCGATAACGTTGATATGCCTCGCGGCGCCCAGTATTTCGGGGACATAGAGGTCGGCTTGTAAAATGATACTCAGGGTGAGATTTCTGTTTTAAATTTCTGCCTGGCCTCTCACTGAACAACACAAATGAACTGGCGTAAGTTCGGTCATAATAGCCACACGTGCATGCGCGTGCGTGTTGCAATGTATTACTTTTGTTGTTGTTCATTGGGGGCGGGGTGTCTCTGTGTGTGTGTGTGGTTTCGTTTTGTTTTTGTGTTTTTGTTGTTTTTTTCGGTAAGGGATGGGGAGTTGTTTGTTTGAATGGGCTTTGTTGTTTTAGGATTATGTTTATTTGGTTGGTTGGTTGTTATTGTTGTTGTTTTGGCTGGGGTTGTTGCTTAACGTTGCCCTCAGTGATATTCCAGCTTTATGGCGCGGGTCTGTCAATAAACTGAGTCTGGACCAGACAATCCAGTGTACAACATCATGACTGTCTATTTGGATCGGATGATATGTGTCAGAGAGCCTGACCAGCCGATCCCGTTAGTCGCCTCGTGCAGCAAACGTGGGTTGCTGAAAATCAATTCTAACCCGAATCTTTATGAGTTGTTGCTATCTATAAGTGCAATGCGTCTCTAGACATTTTTATTATATTTTATGAACATAAATATAAAACCATTTTCATGCAAAATCTGTTAATGCCAGAGACTAGATGTTAGTCTAATCAGAGTCTAACTCAACAACACATTGTGGTGAGGACACGGTGACATATCTTATTTAAAATAGTTGGACAAACGTACAATGCAATGTTGGGACAGATAAAATGGTTAAACTGTCTGGCAAAACATCAGGTATAAGCTTTTACAAAATGTAAGGTAGGAGTTAAGGTACTCCTTAAATTTGTCGATCAGGCCTTGCATGTCACCATAACCTCCTTTGATAAAACTGATATTTTACGGCTGCGTCTCCGCGAAATCTATCTGTAGACGAGTACGTGAAATAATGATTGGTGTAACTACAGATTACAAACCAGTGTTTAGGATTGTGTGAAACAAAAGAAATTGTGCAAATGAACACGACAGATATTGGCAGGGTCCGAAAATTTCTAGTTTCTGACAGAAAGGAGGATTTTAAAAGCTTTCTACTGTGGACAAAAATGTCTTGGGTCCCAATAAGCGATTTGACGTTCGGTGTAAATTAAACATTGAGATGCTTGTTAACTATTCTTTGGGTGACAACTTTATGTTGGTTTGCAAACTACCCATGTCACCATAAAGGGAAATAGGTACACCTACAGAATATCGGATACCTACCAGCCATACTGTTTAGTGTCACGTCACCCTAACGCTAAACATTACCCTAAACCTTACCCTCACCCTAACCAAAAGTAAACTCGCGTGCTTTCAAAGTTGGCGGAAGGTATCCGGTATTCTGTAATCTTACTGTCTTTCAGAATGGACATCTTCCCAAAGTGCTCTGTCTGTCATCAGCAGTTTGTCCTCAAAGGCCCCGCCCCCTACCTACTGCCCTGTCTACACGCTGTGTGTGAGACGTGTGTGACATCTGCAGCTGCTGGTGTGATATCATGCTCTACTTGTCAGACGGAGGTCAACCTCACAGACACAAGCCTCCAGAAGGATGCAGTGAGACAGAAGGAAATATTCCATCTGACAGCCAAACATCGCCCCACAGAGCTTCTCTGTACACATGAAGATGACGGCAACCAGGCTGTGTGTTGGTGTCGGGAGTGTGAAGAGCACCTCTGTGAATACTGCCAGAATATGCACAGCAGCTTGAAACTTACCAGAAAACATGTACTTCAAAACCTCAGCGACTTTAAACCAGCTGTCTCAAACATTCCAACCCCTTGCAGTATCCACAGCCCTGACTCTCTTTATCTTTTTTGATCGGAGATGCAGCATTTTGATTTGTGGAAGATGCAGATTTGAAGATCACGCAGATCATGAAGTTGAGAAGTTAGATGTGGTAGCTAAAAGTATCCTCAAACAGCTGGACCAACGCAAAACTGAGCTGGCAACCTTACAAGCTCGCCAACAATCCCACATTCAGAATATCAGACGAGGGACCGAAATCAGAGATGCAACGCACAACACGTTGAAAGAAAATATTGGCCATACTTTTAGAACTCTGCGATCACAACTTGACCAACGAGAGAAGGAACTTCTGACTGATCTTGAAGGTCAGACGAAGGCGACCAAGACAAGTCTCCGTACTCAGCTAAACACATGTGAAGAAGCTTCGAAGAAATGCTCTGAGGTTTTAGACTACGTCACTAAAGGTTCTCTCACGTATGCCTCACAATCAGACCTCCTTGAGTTGGAGAGTTCTGTAAGGGAGGCAACTCGGGCTTTCCTTGACACTGTTGAGACTCAAACACAGGACATACCCGCAGCTGTCTTTAACACCAACGGCTTGTCAAAGCTGAAATCAAACATATCACGATTTGGGGCTGTCGTGACCAAGGACATGGAAAAAGAATATGCAAGAGGAATTTATATGAGATATGATTTCACGTTCTTTTTTATTGCGTGTAGAAATGGAACAGCGTTCTACAGTGTTATGTTGTGTTTGGGACTACACGTTCTCAGTAAATTACAGATTCTATGACTGTTTTGGGTCTAGAATCCGTAATTTACTAAGAAGCGTCCTTCAAACTGACATTGTCTATTTATAGCTGTCGGCTATGTGGGCGGTGTCAATTCACATTTGTCAGAGGGATACACAAAGTACATGATGTAGTCTACCAGTTGTCAGACTTCCATTTCTATGGAAACTGCGTTGGCTGAGTAGGTTAGATCGCTGTCTTTATGTGATCAAGTGCCTGACTCTGAGAGTGTGGGTTCAAATCACGGCTGGACTCAACCTAACAAAAAGTACTAGAATTTGTACTTTACGGAGAAAGTGTAATCCCAAATATAACATGTGACACATCATTCTCAGCAACTCGAGTTTTTTGCTCGAAAGACAACTAATATTATACTTAAAGCACCGGTAGTTATTGACACAATGCCATTGTCTAGTCAGCCGAGTTGTATTAGATACTTAAAAAACACGCACTTTATAAACAGTAACTCTTGCTCATAATATGTTGGAATTTTACAGTCGAGATTTCATATGGATGTCCCATTATCGCTGATCGGACGTAAAGCACCAATTATTCATTCATTCTTAAGGGTGTATTTACATCATGGTGTTGTTTCAGACAAGGAAACTCAAACTGAACATGACTTCATAGCTGAGATGGAAATCAAATATAAGAACGTGAGTTTGGTAATTAAAATAATATAATGCACCAAAACCGCTAAAGAAGAGCGTATGGGATAGTATGTATAACTACAAAGTATTAAATGTACGAGAACCAATTAAAATGTAAGACAACAATCTAAAACATTTTGAATCCGTTTTCAGAAGTATATGTCCATAATTACCTATCTAATGTCCACAGCACATCGCTCGCCGCGTATAGCTGTAATATTGCTGATGCGGGGTTAAGGAATAATTATTCATTCATTCATTCAGCACATCGGAAAACAGAAGAGGATCATTGACTGAAACAAAAGCCAAATCGAAATACACGCAAGCTATATAAGAATTAACAATCTGAGACTGATATGCTTTTAAACATTCACTTTATTAGAAAGAGGTACAAGGTAACTTCAGTTATTTTGGGTCACGCTGGAGACCCGGGTTCGATTCCCCACATGGGAACAATGTGTGAAGCCCATTTCTGGTGTCCCCGTCGTGATATTGCTGGAATATTGATAAAAATGTGTAAAGATAAACTCACTGACATACTCATTCAGTTATTTTGGAGGTATTCGTTGACAACGAAGAGGGCACAATTTATTGATAACACTTTTATAGTGACTACACATCGTAGGCCGTTATAAGGTTGTCAGACCATTGTAAAGCAATTCAGAAACATCCCTGTGCCAGTAGATAAAATATACGCCATATTCGGTACATTGTATGTTCTTTTCGAGTTAAGTTTAAAATATTTAGATATTTGTACATACCTATCGCCTACCTCCCCATATGTCCCGACATACATACTAACAGACAATTAAGTCTGATTATGGGTTATCTTTTCAGAGCATCGATGACAACGAGAACATCGAGAAGAGAGCCTCAGAAACCACACATTCCCTGCTTGGTAAACTCCAGTCACCTTTGTTCCTTTACTTTCTTCGTTCAGATAACTGAGTCCAGGTTTTAACACTAAAATGTTGGCGTGTGTTGGGTTATTATTGACATTCACTACAAGATATGAAAATGTTGTTTTATCAAAGTGATGGCAATGTTGATGTTGCAGGGCTGCTCAATGAATGCGATATTCACCGGCTGAAACCAGACGCCTTGGACAAGTCGATGGTGCTGAAGTGTACGTTCATAATCTACCCATTTACCATCTATGCTTACGCTACAGCCTCCGAACCTATTGTCACATCATGGAGGTGATTTGGGGGACTTGGCTACATTAGCCACCCAGTGTATTCTGTAGTAGAATGTTTTGGAACAACTGTTTGGCTAATGATCGACGTACAAAGTGTTTGTTTGTTTGTTGGTTAACGGCGCAATCGGCAATATTCCAGCTCTATGGCGGCGGTCTGCAAATACTCGAGTCTGTACCAGACAATCCAGAGATGGACAGCATGATCATCCATCTACGCAATTGTGATACGATGATATGTGGCAACCAAGCGAGCCTGACCACCCGATTCCGTTAGTTTTCTCTTACGACAAGCATAGTTTGCTGAACACAAATTCTGATCCCGAAGTCAATGCTGACAATATTTGGGATACAGCAACATCATCCTAGAGAGAATTTGTCTTCTGAATCGGTGACACCTGATTAGTGTTTGCTGGACTGGTCACTTATTGTACCTTCTGTCAGAATGTTACACTCAGTAGATACGATCTTTATGTGACAGGGCGTGAAATGATATACATATGACATTTTCGCTTTGTCTGCTTCCTGTGGCCATGTGGACGAGCCATCCGACTTCCAATCAAAGGTCCATGGTTTGAATCCCATCACGGGATACGGTAGTTTTATGGCCTGTACATAACAATCAGTGATCAAAACTGACCTTCACGTTGTTGTGTATTTTATAATTTTGTTCTTAAGATTATCTTTTTTTCTCGTTTGTATGTTGTTTAACGTTGCATTCAGCAATATTCCAGATATGTGACGGCGGTTTGAAATTATTCAGACAACCCAGTGATTGACAACATGAGCATCTAATCCACGGTTATGTGTTGTAGGTATACATCTGAAGTATGACACAGATAAAATTAACCTTGACCTCACTCCACATCAACACAGCAGGAGACTTGATCAACAGCGAGTCTTACACCAGGTCTGCAGGGGAAGGGAGACGGACGATCTACAGGGGCACATGCAGCACTATCCCTCCCCTTGATTGATTGTCCCCAGTACTGGGAGACGGAGACCAGGGTCAGACTGTACCAAACACTCACACGGGGCAATCTCATGCTGGAGGTTGGTGTCTGTGCTGAGGGAGAGATGGACATGACGTCCTGTGTAGCCGGTCGTCCCCATGCCTACAGTTTGACCGTCGTCCACTGTACTACTACTCACGAAGGGATATGTAGGAAAATCAGGAAGGAGGATAAGGTTGTGTTACATCTACCTGACACCATTCCCAACGCAGCAAGGGCATTACACACACTACACTACGGTGTTGTCTATGATGATGCCAGGAAGAAGATTGTCTTCATTGATGTTAAGGAAAACAAGGTGATGTCAACGTTAGACAATGTAGACCCAATCAGCCACTGTGGCCGGTATTCGGGGTGTATAACCCATCTGTCCTCACTGTCAGGATGAGACTTGTGGTGGGAAGAGACATCAACATGACAGAGGAGAAGAAAGCCATGATTGTCAAGGCGCTGTCGTGATGTGGCATACTAAAGGCGGGCATGGTGGTGAGTATGATCACACCCAGATACGTATGTATCAACATGACGGAGCAAAAGAAAGCTCCAGTTATAAGACACTGTCATGATGCCATGTTATGACACCCGGCGGCCATGACGTGAGTAGGAACACACGGAGATATGTACAAAGCGATATCAACATGACTGAGGAGAAGAAAGCTCTAGTTATATGACACTGTCATGATGCCATGTTATGACACCGGCGGCCATGGTGGTGAGTAGGAACACACGGAGATATGTACCAACGATATCAACATGACGGGGAGAAGAAAGCTCTAGTTATAAGACACTGTCATGGGGCCATGTTATGACACCGGCGGCCACTGTCGTAGGAGTAGGAACACACGGAGATATGTACCAACGATATCAACATGACGGGGAGAAGAAAGCTCTAGTTATAAGACACTGTCATGATGCCATGTTATGACACCGGCGGCCATGGTGGTGAGTAGGAACACACGGAGATGTGTACAAACGATATCAACATGGACGGGGAGAAGAAAGCTCTCGTTATAAGACACTGTCATGATGCCATGTTATGACACCGGGCAAAGCGATATCAACATGGTGGTGAGTAGGAACACACAGAGATATGTACCAAGCGATATCAACATGGCGGGGAGAAGAAAGCTCTAGTTATAAGACACTG